CTGACTGACTGACTGACTGACTGACTGACTGACTCATCAACGCCCAGCCCAAACCCCTGAACCGAATTTTTACCAAAAGTATATGAAATAGGAGTAGAATTTTCCGGGGAGTGCCACTATGTGTATAGTTTTTTGTTACCGATTTTCTGGAAACCGATTTTTTTAATTTTTCCTATTTTTTGAAAAATAATTGATCAAATCTCAACAAATTATAGATCAAATAGGGGTAGAATTTTCCGAGGAGTATTATGAAATGTATAATTTTTCGTTACCGATCTTTTGGAAGCCGGTATCGAAATTTTTTAAAATAATTTTTACCAAAAGTGTATGAAATAGGGGTAGAATTTTCAGGGGAATGCCACTATGTGCATAGTTTTTTGTTGCCAATTTTCTGGAAACCGGTTTTTCTAATTTTTCTAATTTTTCGGGAAATAATTCACCGAATTTCAAAGAATTGTAGATCAAACAAGGGTAGAATTTTCCGGGAAGTGCTATGAAGTGTATAATTTTTCGTTACCGATCTTTTGGAAGCCGGTATCAAAATTTTTTCAATCTTTCGGGAATTAATTGACCGAATCTGAAAGAATTGTATATAAAGTAGGGGTAGAATTTTACGGCAAGCGCCATAATGTGTACAGTTTTTGCTACCGATCTTTTTGGAAATCGGTTTTTTTAATTCTTTCAATTTTTCGGGAAATAATTGATTAAATGTCAAAGAATTATACATGAAGTAGGGGTAGAATTTCCCGGGGAGTGCTATAAAGTGTACTATTTTTTATTACCGATCTTTTTAAAAACCGGTTTCGAATGACCGAATCTCAAAGAATTGTACATAAAGTAGGGGTTGAATTTCCTGGGGAGTGCTATCAAGTATATAATTTTTTGTTATCGATCTTTTTGGAAAACGGTATCAGAAGTTTGACGAATTTTCGGGAAATAATTAATCGAATTTTAAAGAATTGTATTTAGAGAGAGAGAGAGAGGGAGAGAAAGTGAGGGGAGAGAGAGGGGGAGAGAGAGAGAGAGAGAGAGAGAGAGGGAGGGAGGGAGGGAGGGAGAGAGAGAGAGAGGGGGAGAGAGAGAGAGAGAGAGAGAGGAGGGAGAGAGGGAGAGAGAGAGAGAAAGAGAGGGGAAGGAGAGGGGGGAGAGAGAGAGAGAGAAAGAGAGAGGGGAGAGAGAGAGACAGAGAGAAAGGAGGGAGAGAGGGAGAGAGAGGGGGAAGAGGGAAAGAGAAAGGGGGGAGGGAGAGAGGGGAGAGGGAGAGAGAAAGGGGGAGGGAGAAGGGGGAGAGGGAGAGAAAGAAAGGGGGGAGAGAGAGAGAGAGAGAGATTGATTGATTGATTGATTGATTGATTGGTTTTATTTATGCCATAGTCAAGACTTTAGGCAAAATGGCAATTTACAGAAGGAAAAAATATATATAGACAAGAAGAGAAGAGAGAAAAAAATAAAATAAAATAAGGTAAAATAATATAACAATAAAAATGACAAATAATCAGAACAAAATTTGCGCGTTATATATATATGTATATATATATATATATATATATATATATATATATATATATTATATATATATATATATGTATTATCAGAGATTAAAGATACAAAAGATATGAGATATGAGAAATATAATTGTAAACACGCAGCATACACAGTGAAATGTAAAAGGCTCGAAGTAATAAAGCATTCAGATAAAGCAGATTTTATGGACGAGCAGTTGGAAAACGTCACGAATTAACAGCGAGAATTAATTTTCTTTGTGCAGCTTTTGTGAGCATTCTTTGATATTCTTTGATATATATCTGAAAAGAATGTCAAAGGATACTTAATAAAGAAATGCTTTTCACTCGGCTACGGTGCTGACCAAATATCTGGCATGCAAACATATTGCAGATGGTAATAAAATTTAAAAAAGTTATCTCTTTTATATCGCAAGATTGAAAAATTCTCAAATATTTATACGTACATCTTAATATTAAAATTATACGCGTTTGACGATCGTTACATTTGAAATTATTGAAGACATACTTTTCTCTCGTTTTATTTCACTTCCGAGAATTTCCAACGGATTACGTGAAACATTTCTATCGAGCAGACGTTTCAGTCAGATGCACCAGGTGCACACCAATCGCAATTAGAAAAAGAATGAAAAGAAAGCAATAGTATTTGTATCTGTAACCTATAAATAAGACAATGACAAGGACACATATTACAACGTGGATATACCTTATTTCATCATACACAATATTATAGAGAGATTTTCTAACTATTTTGTAATTATTATCAACCGGTTGGTAACAGTTACCATATTTGTTACTACTTACCAAATATTACGCTGAAACATACAACCAAATGCATTTGTTAAGTACTACAAGATTTTTTTCAGAATGTAGAAACATTTTATTATACTAATACTATATTTGGTCATACAAATATGGTTTGCCTATGTCAACAGAGGCCAAATATTTAAATGCGTAAATGTACGTGTATAATGCAATAATATTTTGCTTTTATGCTTGCGATTAAATAGGTATAAAGTCAAAGGTTGACATTTAATTACGTGTGGATAAAACTAAAAGTATCGTCAGAAAATTTACATCGCTTGTATTTGCGTGATAAAAACGTATGTTATCGGTAAAATATATTCGCGTAAGATCGTTTCTTTCTTTTTTTCGTTTTCGTCGGATCTGTGACGCCTACACAGACGCCTTCAACGATATTCGAGAGAGAAAGAGAGAGAGAGAGAGAGAGAGAGGGGTCATTTGCATTGCTTGAATCAGGATTCTCAGAAGAGGTGACTCGCACGTAACGGCGCTGTACAGTAATATCGATCGATGACCTTCGTTCCCAGAATCTATACCAACGAATGTGTTTCGTATTTGAGTGGCCGTTATCAAATTCCCGGGTCTTCCTTTTTGCTCGCCCGGGCTTGTCCATTTATCTACGTTCAATTCCCATCTAGTCTTTGAACCGAATTCCCTATCGGCTTCGAGCACATCGCGTTCCGCTCCTCGTACATCCGATCCGTTTGGTAGCATAGAGCTATCAAATTTAGAATTCCAGCAGATTCGAAAGTCACACGTAGCAGTGTCAGAATTTAGGCTACAGAATATTGGATTGCAGAAATAAAGACGGTTGTAGAGAATAATTAGCAAAACTTGCATATTGGAGTAATTTGATAATTATATATTAAATATTAATTAATCTTATCTATTCGCGTATATAAAGTAAAAGGAAATTCCATCTTTAAAAGGGAAAAAAATATTATTGATTTATTAATTTTCAAAACCAACTCTCTGAAAGTCTGATCGCATCAAAGAAAGTAATTGTCGTTACTATTATATTTATCTATACTTAACCCTATTCACTCCAACGTTTTTTTCGCCCCAATAATCCTCCAACCATGCACTTTCGAGTCCCACGTGTTTTTTATAATGTTAATAGCTTTGAAAAATTCCCCAAAAATTATTATAATATCTTTGTACCTTCGACTAAAAATCAATGTAAAGAACATTTGAAAATAATTTATTTAAATATTTTTTTACAACAATTATATGTTGACAAACACACGTTACGACTCGTTTTACTTAAAAAATCATAACTCACGAACAAATTGACGAAGCTTAATGAACCAAAACGCAAATTAAAGCTAAAAGTAGTGCAAATGAGAAAAAAAATATGAGATAATTATTAATTAAATAGGAATACTTAATTTCGTCGCCGCAAATTTGGTAATTTTTAAATGGTACAGAAGGACTTTAAGGACTTAAAGAATGCTAGAAAAAGAATTTCTGAATAAGAAAAGGCGAATTTGAAGTGTGACAGATATTTTTTATGTAAAAAAATTAATTTTTTTTATATAATCGTAGCTCCTCCCTACCTCTTCCACCTGCCTCTGAGCCATAATAGACCTCTGTGGAATGTTAAATTTCTTTTTTAACGATAAAAATATTTTAAATACGGTTAAATTATACACAAAAATATATTTTTATCGAAAAAAATGCTCATTTACCTTTCACACAACACTGACGTAATCCTCCAACCATGCACTTTCATGTCCCACCGAGATTTTGATTGTTCCCCGTTTCGAGAGTAAATGAGCTAGGACTTTGAAATTTTTACCTGAGGTTCCCTGCCACAATAACTTTTTTCCGGCGTGGAGGGGATTCTCCCACGATCATTTGTTTTTCGGAACAAACGACTGTTAGAAATTTGTGGGACACGAAAGGCATGGTTGGAGCGAATAGGGTTAATTATTATTTTATTACCGAAAAACTTAGAGAACGAGAGGCAGAGAAAAGAGATTTCTTTTTCGGGATATATTTCGTTAAATGCGGAGAAAACGTAGCTGCATGCGTAGTAGTAGCTGAATATTTTCCTACAAGTGCAGTATCGTCATCGTTTCTCTTCTAGATTAAACTGCCTCGTCGATTGCAGTCTTCGCCAATTGATAGTCAGCCGTTGCCGTAGTAACAACGGGATTATTCTCGTGCTTTCTTTTGCAGACGCTACCGTACGGTGGGCGGAACGAACGCGAGGACGAAATAAATCATCGACAAGTGCGTGCCCGTGGGATGCATTACGCGCATTACCTCGAGAGGATCTCCGTCGTCGTGGCAGGGTCGATCGGGCGAAATAATGCGATCGAAACGCATCAGGAAAGCGGCGCTGTTCAGATTGCTCAGATACAGACAGTGCGCCAGGTGCCGGAAGATAACTTAGCGTACCCGAGAGTATTCGGGGCGATAGGTCGACGGGGATAAAGAGAATAGGGGAGCGCACATACATACGAGAGCACATGAGACTGATCGCCGCTGCGGCAATGATCGACGAGCGTAATTTCACTTCGCTGGCTGTGATTTTTACTCCTAGACTCCCGACTCCAGAGGCTTGACGCGTGGAAATCGCTAAGACTGATCAAGGTAGACTGCTCAGTGACTTCGCCGAAGAACACGTAAGCCTGGAAATCTGGAAACATCGTTCTACGACGAGTAAGTTGTTCCGCGTCATCCGATCGGATCGATCAAATATATGTATATGTATATAAAAACGGTAAACATTATGTCGTTAAAATAGCGTAAACTTCAATTACGATCTAATTGTAAGTGTCTTGCCTGTAACTCCTTAAGATCAACTATCCCACCGAAGAATAATTAAGGCGAGTTGATCTCGCATCTTCGCGAAAACACGCGCGTCGCGTCGCTTCCCACGCTGTATACTCGCGTTTATTAGCGTCGTCGAACGCGCCGGTAGCATAGTAAGGACGCGCAAGAATTTCCTTCGTGGAACCGGCAATATATACACGCGTGAAGCTCGATACCGCGTCGTCGGATAACGATCGCGCGCCCTACGAAAGCAACGCGAGCAAAACACGGTTTCCCTTACACCGCAGATATATGTTCATCGGACGAACTTGGTGCGTTCGCGACTAATCGCGTTCAAAGACTCGCTGCCCAATTATCTCACATCGTTTCCGTCGTTGTTACAAAATCGAGACATTTCAAGAAAGACCTCTTGGCGAGAATTTGGTCGAAATCTGCAGCGATAACTATTGATGGTCACGCCAAGTGACCAGAAGAAGAAAAAACGAGGGACTACTTGGAGGCTTGCCGGAGTCTGAAGAGAAAGAATTGCCGGCATTAGGAAAGTTTGAGTGGCACTTGAATCGCGGATAGTTCAATAGTCGGACAGGGGCTAGAAATATTTCGCTGCATCGGCGGAAAGAGATCGTCACGCCGCGGCCGTCATCGTCGTTATAAAGTTATTTGGCGTCTGAGCGAGAGAGAATCGAAGAGACTCGCTCTGAGGTGTTTTGCGATATCTAGACAGCGAAATAATAATAGAGAAAAAGTAACACAATTAAAAAGTGCAGGCAGTCGAGAGGAAATATAATATCAGAAAAGAAAGGCGGAAGGGAAAAAGGGTGGAAAGGCAAAAGTTATTACTCGCGAGCGAGCGAGCATTTTAAATGTTTGGATTGAAAAGAGGAGAAATCCGAGCTGCGGGAAAATCGAGGAAAGGGCAATTAAGGAGAAGAGAATCGGGCAAGGGCCGAATGGGAATCGAAACGTGAAAAGGTAGAAACGATTTCGAGCGGATGATTCGGGCCAGGGTTCAGCGCATCAGAGGAATAGAAGTGGAAGAGAGGTCAAAACGAGATTTTTATTCGGTGTTTCAGTGGAGATATGTATGTATCTGCGCAGTGATTAAAATAGAGGCTGCCGAAAATTCGGCCGCTTAAAGACCGAAAACGGATGATAATTAACGCGATCTTCTTGCGATTATTTAAGCTGAATTTCCGGGAGGAGCGCTCACTTTTTCGGCACATGCGAGAGAGGGATATTTTGAAGATATTTCGGCGAAATTAGACCTGAAATTGCGAGGTAAACGATAAAATTATGAGCGAACACATTGTGCTTCGGGAAATTTACCTAATTAAAAGCTCGTCGGTGTGTTTTTTAATCAGCGCTCCTATAAAGTGCTGATTAAGTATTATAATAATGGTATAATGGTAGTATTATTCAGATCCTTGTCGAGCGCAGGTGCCGGACTTTCGTATAGCACGGAGGAGCGACGGTAGCGGTGAACTCATCGAAAATTCATCCGGCGTTTTGCGCAACTCGAGGAATAAATTGCAACCAAACCAAGAGGGATCGTTGAAAATTCATTCGGCATATCAGATCCCCGCGTAAAAGCGATGTAATTAAAGAAAACCCGCGAAAATGCCGAAGAAACCGCGAAAAGAGGGATAATTGAAAATTCATGTAGCGTTTTAACGTCTTTTTCTCTTCGTGAAAGGTGCGAGGGAAAATAATTGGACGGTTCATTGGACGTCTTAATTGACCGCATAGAAGAAAAAAAAGAAGATTAAAAAGGAGGATATCGACTCCGATTCCTGGAGAAGAAGGAGGTGAAATTTCAAACGATCATTGGATCACAGTGGGATTAGCTTGGTATGTCCGCTAGCGGGAATTCGCAGACGGTTGAATTAAAGATTCAATCGGCTACTTTCATGAACTCGAATTAGAAGGTACGGTGGCGAGAGGCGAGTTATCGGTCTCGACAAGCCATTCGAGCCGGTATTTTATTTGATTTCGAGGAAAACATATAATCCAGCGGAAATCGATGAGCGCGGAGGAAACGGAGGCGTTTCCTCAACGCGACTGAGAAAACGTTATACTGAACGTGAAAAATTATTCGTAGCAAAATTCAGCGTCGCGCTCGACAAGTGGAAGACGCGTCATTTGTGAAGATTGTTGAGGAAGAATAAGAAAACAGTTCGAAAAGGAAAAGCGTGAAAGATAAAGGAAAAATTCCGGAGACTGTCAAACGATTCCAAGTTTCCGCGGTCTTTTTCTTCGGATAGAAATCGGTCTCCTCGAGAGAGAGAGAGAGAGAGAGAGAGAGAAAGAAGAAATAAAATCTTCCGCCGGTTTGTTTTGCGCGGAAACTACCGCGAAAGGTACGGACCCGATATCGAGAGTCCTTGACAGCGAATAAAACCACCCACTTACACTTCGAAAAAAGGGGTGAGCGGTGGATCGTCGGAAGGGAGGAGGAGGAGGAGGAGATCGTCCAAAGTTGTTTAGCGAAACTGATTTACGCGGAATCTACGCCCTGGGAATTTTCAGTGTCCCCGGGTATCGATCGTCCCTACACTATACGCCCTGCATTTCCGGACACGTCGACAAACGATCGGCGAAAGATCGCGAGAAGACTGCGCCGAAAAATTTCCGTTCTCGCCCGTTCTCGCACCCGCGCATTCGAGGCGGAACGTGATCGTACTTTCTAGGAAGTCGGTCGCCGAAAAGTCAAGCCACCAGTCTCGTTTGCTCTTTTTTGCCGCGTAACACGCCGCGCTGAAGGGAAGTCCGTGAAAGGGGGAGGACGCGGGAAATAGCGCCGAGAAGGAAGGTTGCAATTTCCGGCCGGCCACGTAACGGTAAATTCATTGCGCCGGGAGCGTAATCCTGAGGGACGAGCGCACGTAAGGCATTCTGAATCGAGATTTCGTGACTTAGGGCACAAATGCGCGTCCCATAGCGCCGTTTGTTAAGGGCAATACATATACATTCGGACTCTCTCTCTCTCTCTCTCTCTCTCTCTCTCTCTCTCTCTCTCTCTCTCTCTCTCTCTCT